CTCACCTCAGCCTCCCAAAGGCGCGGGATTACAGGCTGAGCCACCGAGCCTGGCTAGGATATTTAAACCATCATTTACAATGAGAGCATAAGCCAAACTTCAGGTGCTGTGCTCACCACAGTTACTGCAAAGAAGTGTTGGAGCTTAGTTGAAAGAGGCAATAAATTGATTTGGTTCAACTGACACGAGATAATGAACAAATTTTAAGAAATTACTTTTCATCCCAGGAAAGGGAAAACCACAAGTTCAATGACTTTTATAGCTTAGCTTTTTTTATTTATTTATTTTTTAAAAACAGTAACAGCAGTATTTGAACAGAAAATAAGTCAAAAACTTTTTTTCTGGAAATAAAAACTATTTTATAATGCAATGTCACCTTCTCTTTTATTTATAGGGTATTGACTAGAACAAAAATCCTTCAGTAACCTTCAACTCACTTCCTGGTTAAGAATATTAGAAGCTGAAAGTAATATTAAATATAAAGCAGCTCAATTCTCATATTTTATTGATGTAGTATCTGATATACAGAGAAGTAAAGTACTTTTCCCATAATCACACCACTGATTGTTGAATCAGGCCTAAGAATGCAAATGTCAGCTTCGTACTATCCTGATCACACTATGAACTAAATTATGAGTCAAGTTTTTGCTTTATATTTATTTTTCTCATGAAAAGAGAATTGGGGCAACATAAGGAATAACAAATACAATCAGTTTTTCTGTCTTAGTGGATAAGATTTGTATTTCTTCCAGTAAGGTTCTTGAGATATGACGACAAGCAGAAGTCATAAATTGTTGTGCAAAATGAAGACACATGAAACCAAATCAACTCTAGTTATAGAGCAGACCCTGATTAATAAGCAATTCATATTATTGACCAAAAGGTGAGACAAGGCCTGAGTCTTCATTTCAACATAAGGATTAATTTAGAAAGCAAAAATGTAAACAGAATCAGGAGGACTCATAAAGGACTAGAAAGACACCCAAGTTTCCATTATTATAATGTCACTTATCAGAATTGATCTAAAAATTTTCTTCAGTCACCTGTACATATACAATGATACTATTTAAAATAGAACATTTTTATAATTGTATGTGATTTTAAAATAAAACCACAAACACAGTTGACTTAGAAGGTAAAGAGTTAATTTAAAAGAATATGGGACTCTAAGGCAAAAACAAAACAAAGCAAAGCAACAATAGCAAAACATTTTGAAGGCTCTCTCTTGCAATATGAGGCACTTATTTTAAATTATTAAGCAGGGAAACACAAGGCGTTATGACCTCTTACTGTGGAGATATTAGTATAAGATATTGTGCCAGTCTCAAGGTGCTCAGCCTTAGGGAGGCAGGACCAACATACAGGATGCACTTATTCTGTTTTTCCTACATCCAGCTTCATTTTCTGCGATCTTTACACTGTTGCCTTGGAAGTTTGCCCCATTAGAATTGTATTTGCCAGGATTCCTTACTGGTTTCTACTTGCGTTCAGCCAAAGACAAATATTAACTGGATGTCAGAGAGAAGAAAAGTTGGGACTTATCTCCCCACTCCTTCCTTGTTCCAGAGCCGCATCGTGAGCTACTGCTGAATATCTCCACAACTTGCTTTAACCTGGGCAGACCCACTTACAAAGTATTTGTTCTCACCTTTGTGGTAACACTTTTCCCAACTCTTGCCCTTCAGCTCTATAGGTGGTAAAAGCTTCATGCTTTTGCTGCTCTTTGAATGCCAACAACATTTTTCCTTTTCTGCCTTCACCTGTACACATCTCTTTAACAGCAGCTTCATTAAACTTTGTTCAATTCAAATATTTGAAATGAATTTCTTTTTTTTCCAGGAACCTGACTGATAAGCAAGAGACAGACAGACACACACACACACACAGAGTTCATTATGTGATTTTCAAAAAAGAATCTAGTTGACTTTTTCTCCAAGTATATTTAGAGAAAGAATACTGTATTTACTGTATTGAAATAGTACAGTTTGTAGGGCTATGTGTGTTTGTGTGTGCCTCTCTCTGTGTGTGTTGTGGTGGGAAAAGGGGAAATGTGTTCTTTGGTGAAATATTTTTATGAAATGCTGGTGTCATAGAAGTTAAAAAAATTTCTGTTTTCTGTCATTCAGTTTTTAATATGCTAATACTGTATGTCAGCTGCTAAGAAGAACATGTATATGTAGCACTTGCCAAACATATCTCAACCCAAATTATATTTTTCTTGGATCATCTCCTGAGAACAGTGATTCTTTGACCATATCAGGGAAAGCACTAGGTGTTGTCAGCTAAGGGTAGAAATCCAACTTCCTTGGAGTGACTGGACTTGAGTCTCGAACATTTCCCTTTTAGATATTGTCCTCCTTCAAGAATTTACCAGGAGCCTACTCAGTTTTTTGTTTGTTTATTTTTAGGACTGAAGGGCCTGGACTCAAGTAAACCGAAGTGCTGCCCCAAGATCATTAATATATTTCAGTGTATGCTGAATGTTGCAGCCTGAGGATAACGACAATAAGACAACAAAGAAACATCAACTGGGGAAGACTGACAAGACTCCTACACAGAACTAAAATGTGAAAAGGCCTTGAGTGGCCACATGCTCCAGGATTATATTTGGGGTTTCTAGGCTCTATAACTTATGAGTTTCTAAACTCAGAGGTTACCGGTTTTGGAGCTCTGGCTCACAATCCTGAAGTCATAAGAAATTTGGGAAATTTGGGGATGAAACTCAAATAAAAAATTTATTGAATTACACTAGTGAGTATTACTTTATAATGGACTTTAGTTTCTTGTGTTTATTGTTCAGTATATTTTCTTCCAGGTGGCATATCTACTTGGAAAGTCACAGTACAATTATAAGGTTACTTGATGATGTGAAATTGGGACAAAGGGAATTATTGGAAACACCTTAGTAGCTAGTATGTCGATCTCCAAGGCACAGATGTCCAGTTCTGCACTCACATTCCTTTTTCACAGGATAGAGAAGAAGGTATCTATGATTTCATGACAAATATTTATGGTTTATATTGAAATAATCTGTGGAAAATAATATTCTTTTTTCCTATTAAGTAATAATTGTAATTGTTGTAGGTTTAAGGAAAAAAAAACAATGTCTGTTTTGTTTATGATCACATTCAATTGCTTGACTGAGTATGGCTTGTAGCAGATGCTCAATTACTAATAAACAATAGCTTTTTCACTTATTAATTCATTTAATCAAATTAATGGATAATACTTTGCACTCACCTAATTTTCTCTTTTGAAAAAAATCTTTGTAGAAATGGGGTCTCACTATGTTGCTCAGTCTCATACTGAACTCCTGGCCTCAAGCAATCCTCCCAACTTGGCCTCCAAAAGTGCTAAGATTAAAGTTGGGATCGCCTTTCCGAGGAGCCGGCAAGAAGGCGGAAGTGGAGCAGAAGAAGAAGACGATTTTCCGCAAGTTCACCTGCCGCAGCGTGGACCTGGACCAGCTGCTGGACATGTCCTACGAGCAGCTGATGCAGCAGCAGAGCGCACGGCGGCAGCTGAACCAAAGCCTGCGGCGGAAGTAGCACTCGCTGCTCAAGCTGCTGCACAAGGCCAAGACGGAGGCGACCCCCATGGAAAAGCCCAAGGTAGGGAAGACGCACTTGTGCGACATGATCATCCTGCCGGAGATGGTGGGCAGCATGGTGGGCAGCATGGTGGGCGTGTACAACGGCAAGACCTTCAATCAGGTGGAGATCAAGCCGAAGATGATTGGCCACTACCTGGGTGAGTTCTTCATTACCTACAAGCCTGTGAAGCACGGCCGGCCTGGCATCGGTGCCACCTACTCCTCCCGCTTCATCCCATTCAAGTGGTCGCTGCCAATAAAGGCACGCCTGTCCAAAAAAAAAAGGCAGGGTCCTACCTATACCTTAAAGTTGTAATATCATATATTGTTTCTCTGCTCAAAGATATTAATTTAATATTTTTACTTTTGCCATACTATTTCACTTCCCTATTTTAAAGTTACTGGTCTCTAATGTTCTTACCTTCAATGTAATGTACAGCATTTTATTTCTGGTGGCCCAGTATCCTAATGTTTCATTTCAAGTTAAGAGGTTCTAAAGCAGTCATAAAGTATATTTAATCAATTCATTTACTTCTTTCATGTAGTAGATAAGCTGAGAAATATATGGTCTCTAGAACAGTTCTGTATACATAGCACTAAGTCTACAAATATTTGTTAAAAATAAAGAAATAGGAATATTGAGCAAGCAGAATGAAAAGCTTTCATTCCACTTCATATTATTTGAGTTGTAAGTTTCAGATAAGTTGATTGTATACTTACCAGGTTCTCAAACTACCTCATAAAATATGACTGTTTATTTCAAAAAGGGTTAATATTTATTACAGTTATTGCCCAAAATCATACACAGTGAGAGGAGAAAGTAAAATAGGATCATATGTTTCCTGACTTTCAAATTAGGGATATGTCCTTTAAACAATAAACCTCTAAAGTTTATAAAATAATTTTAACTTGCTCCAAATCATACAGTGATAGTCAATTTGAGTAAACTGTTGCCAGAGAAGTGACTTCAACAGAGTTGCCTGTAAATTATTATTGTGAAAATAATTTTTATTATGTTAATTAAAATATTCATTTCAATAATTTTTGTCAAAGTTTCAAAAAATAAACATTTCAATAATTGTAGGTAAGTCAAGTTTTGAAGCTGCAAAAAAAAGTAAATCAACTGGCGCAACTCCCTTATTTAAGAAAGACTAAAATTTGACTTGTATCAAGCAGTGTGACTTATTAGTGGTACAGCCAGGATAAGACTCTAAGTCCCCGAAAGCTGATTCAGTAGCCTCTCCTCTCTGACATAAATCAAACCTGATTTTCATAAATATAAGATGTGTTCTCATAAATTGAATTGATAAAATGATATAGCCATTTAAATGAATAGAGATTAATATAATTTTATGACACTTCTGACAAATATGTTGTTACTTTTTTAAGTGAGAAAATACCCATTAATTCACACAACTTGAAATACTTTAAGGAAACTCGTGCAATTGAAAGTTAAAATCCTTTTTATTGAGAAAATGATGAAGTAGCTTGAACAACTAAAAAATTTCAATTATTAATACATGTTTTTCAGTAGGTCATAAAATAACTTTGTTAAAATTCAAAAAAACTGAAAAAAAGTAAAGAAAATGATGGAGAAATGGAAACAGTGCAAAAAAAAAATCAGCAAAACTACTACCTAAAGTACTGTGGAAAATAGCAAGTGTACCTAATAAGCTTATGAATCTGGATAAGGAGATCTCTAAAAAGAGTTTCTAAAAATTCAGCTGACTTCTAAATGCCAATTATAATATATATATTGAGAAGATAGGAACTGTTCAGTTTTTGAACAGAATATAATCAAAATATAAAATTTCCAGGACAGTCCTTTCAACCAAGATAAAGTTTAAAGTTAAACAATATCCTTCTGTGATAAATCACTGAGTACTATAGAAACAAAGAACTGAGTACCACATGTTCTCACTCATAAGTAGACCCTGAACATTTACCATAATACTACAAGAGACGGATTGGCAGTAGCAGGACACTGCCAGGGGAGGGAAAGGGGACACATAACATCAATAAGAGTACTTGATCTTAAGCCAGGTGAAGTGGGAAACAAAGGGAGGCCCAAACTATAGCTGTACGGTGACCACTTGTATACCTAATCATGAATTGTACCCCACATCTTTTAAATAAATAAAATAAAACAAACAGTATTACCCATGGAGAGGGAGAGAGCATAGGTGCACCAGGGATGCTACGGTAGTGTACATTTTCATGTTTATTTTTTTCCCCTAGAAATTTAAAAACATATGAAGTCTTTAAATTATGTTAAAAAGAAAATTCTTTAAAAAAGATTTTTTTAAAAAGCCATATTACTCTACTAGAAGGAAAATCAAACCACTTTTTATTATAGGAACCTCTGCAAAAGGAAAAAAATGGCCTTCAGAGCAAATAATAAAATTTGGACAGTAAAATGTGGTTTCAGGATAAACATGAATTAAAGGATGTAGAAGATTTTCTTCTTAAGACCTCGAAAGGATTTCAGAATATTCCTCACAAATCCTTTTTGCTAAGCAAGAGAATTCTAAGAATCCAAAAATGTGGTCTGGCATCAGACCATGAGCTGACCGTCCAAGATAAATGATGATCTGCCTTGGAAAGAAATGTGGGTGTGCCTCTTGTCTAATGGAGTAACTGCCTTATTGGAATCATAAGCAAGGAGAGATGGAGAGAGGGGAGGGAGAGAGAGAGAAAGGGGAAGAGGTGGAGGAGGAAGGAGAAAAGGAGAAAAGAGAGACGAGGAGGAGGAAAGGACCCAGGAAGGGAGCAAAAGCAAGCCCTACTGTCTCCTCTCAGAATTCCTGAGTCTAGTCTCAGCATTGTGAGATTAAATAATGATAAATTGTTGTTTTCAGCCACTGTTTTGATATAGGTTGCTATGCAACAAAGGATAATTAGAGCACATATATGCTATATGCAATTATAATGTGCAATAAATTTTGTAGCTTGTAAAAAGTACACTATACTGAGTGAAGGAAATAAATATTTAATAAAACATTTTTTTCTACTTCTACCAGTCATTGTAAAACTCATTCATTGGCGTGTAATGAAAAATAAACATAATTCATGAGAATTTGTCTTATCATCAATTTGATGAAATATTTATTAACTTTAATATTGTTTTCAAACTTTTTCAGCTTTATTGAGTTGCAATTTATAACTAAAAATTTTATATATTTAGGTATACAACTTGATGTTTTGATATGTACATTATGAAATAATCACCACAATCAAGCTAATTAACATACTCATCACCTCACATATTTACCATTTTCTTTGTTGTTGTGGTGGTAAAAGGTTTTTTTTTAACTTTTTTTAAAAAATGAAACCTACATTAAATGGACTTACTCCATCAGACAGCATATTGGGTCAATTAATAGAGAAGCAGTAAATTCTATTAGTCTGGGCTATATTCAATTATGTAATTTGAGATCACACATCATGACACCTTTGTCTCAACTTTTCAAGCAGCCTATATAGTTTCTGATTACAGAGAGGTGGCTCTCAATCTCTTTGCCTGTTGACATAGTACGATTGACTCACTTTTGCCTGCTCATGATTTGTTTGCTTTTTTGGTTTTTGTCTTTATGTAAGTTTCTAACCTACAAGAATCAGCATCGCAAAGGAATTTCAAATAATTATATCAATAACATGAATACATTTTTCCATACTTCCAACTGGACGTTTAAGTTTATACTGAGTTACAAAATAATTGTGTATGATAATAAACACTCATTTTTAAAAATAGTATGGAGTTGTTTCTCTGTTTCTCAATCCCGTCTCAGCTCAAAAGGTGAGTGGGATTGCTTAGAACATTCTAGAGTTGCTAACCACCCACAGGCACCAGAAAGCAACTGACAAAGGGGCGGAGCCTCGACTGAAGCCCTCACATCCTCTTTGGTTACGTAGGGGCGGAACGCGTCACATCCGCCTGGGTTACGTACGTAGCAGCGGAACTTTTCCGGGTTATTACGTTCAGGGTGTTCATTTCTGAGAGGCTTCATTCAGGCCAAGCTTTCAGTAGCTATGAGTTTCAGTCGCCCTCTTCCCAATGTGGAAGGCATGACCTCCCTCAAAGTGGACAACCTGACTTACCGCACTTCGACCAACACTTTGCGGCGTGTGTTCCAGAAGTATGGGAGCATCGGCGATGTGTACATCCCACGGGACCGCGTCACAAAAGAGGTCCGTGGCTTCGCCTTCATCCGCTTCCACCACAAGCACCACGCTGAGGACGCCAGAGAAGCCCTAGACGGGATGATGTTGTATGGCCGTGAGCTGCGGGTGCAGATGGCGCACTACGATCGCCCCAGAGATCCGTGCTATCACCAACCCCAGAGAATGTCGTCTTCCGGCAGGTATGAAGGAGAAAACTACAGACGCCACAGCCATAGCCCAAGGCGTCGTCAATCCAGCCCAAGGCGTCGGCATTCTAGCCCAAGGCGTCGTCATTCTAGCCCAAGGCGTCGTCATTCTAGCCCAAGGCGTCGTCATTCTAGCCCAAGGCATCGTCATCCCAACCATTCCAGTAGCAGGAGACGATCCCGTACCCGATTCAGATCCCGATCCCGATTTGAATCCCGGCGAAGATCTCCCTTAAGCCCTCCCAAGAGGGAGTCTCGCTCTCACTCTCAATCTCGGTCTCAGTCTCGGTCTCGGTCTCGTTATAGCTCTCGCTCCAGCTCAAGTTCGAGCTCTAGCTTTCGCTTTCACTGTCACTCCCGTGCGAGATCTCCATCAACCTCCAGATCTCAGTCTACTCAAAGATCCAAATCCAAGTCCTTCTCAGTGGCCAGATCTAGCTTGCTGACCAGGTCCAGCTCTAGGTCCAGAAGCTTCTCATCAAGATACAAGAAGAAATGCAAGCTGACATCCAAGAGTGGCTCCAAGTGACATGAAGAAGAAGGAATGCTATCTTACTAGGTTAATGATTTATCAGCAAGCAACCTGAGGACTGAGTGGGGAAGTACATTCAATTGACTGATGAGTCCTTGAAAGAAGCCTTTAGCGATTGCATAGCTTGTTTTGTCAAATGTATAACTTTGTATTTGTTTTAAGCCTTCCATCACTTTATTTTATGTCAATATCTTGTGAGTTGGTGAGGTGAAAAATTTCAATTCTCATAATTGGTTTGGATATTTGAGGTAAAATTTTCATTTTCATTAGAGTGTTGACTTTTTTGGTTTGAAGGTAAACAGATTATTATTTTAACTTCTGAACTCCTGATTTAAGAAAATGTATCCAACCACTTCGTGTTGAGTAGCCCCAAATGGTCTAGTGATTAACTCATTGCCTTCATTCTTTAAAATTAAAAACGTACAAAAGTTGCTATAAATGTATTTATATGTGTTGTTTATCTTCAGGTCTAAATGGTAATCTGAGCCTACATTCGTATGAAAACATTTCAAATGAAAAAACTTGATATTTTAAGTATTATTTATGAAGCACAGTTCTAATCTCTTAGATATTTTGGTTAGGTGTTATGGTGATGTTTTTCAGTGCAGAGTGTTTGAATATTTCATGTTTTCCTCTGGTTCCTACTATGTTGTACAGAAACAAAGGGCTGTCCATTTCATTAAAACTATCTGACACCTACACTTCTAGTCACCCAGATCTTGCATATCTATAACAGAGATCACATCTAGCTGATGATAAATGCAACTTTATTTTTTTCTCTCATTCCCAAAATGGTGAATCTGAACATTTTCATTTAATGAGAAATGTTAACAAAGCAAATGATTTGTAACTCTGTAAATACTTATAACACACTGTGTTGTTTTATCTGTTGTTTATGCATATGTATACCATAACCATATTCTGAAGTTTGATTCAAACATTTTTCTTGGTGTTTTTAAAAAATAAAAATTTAAAAGTTCAGTGTGATTATATACTCATTCATAAACAAAAAGACATTGAGGTCATCCATTTCGAATGTTGCCTTATAAACAATAAATTTTCAAGACAACAGAGACCCAGGGTGTAAATATTTTAATTTAGCAAGCTACAGTCAAAAGTTTCACACAAATGCTGCTGCATCATGGCTTTGTTCCTCAAGGTTGTCATGACCATCCCCTGGCTTATCTCTGAATCTTTAAAGAAGGCAGTTAAAGATTGCCTTCTATGGCTTAATACTCCATTTCAACATACTGTTTTTGAATTAATGGGAGACAGTTGCTTCTAGCTTGACATTAGAGTTAGGGCCTGATCTGATTCCCTTGCTTCTCTGTTAGTTCAGCATTTGCTGGCACTAATTTTAGCCCCAATCAACCTTTTATTTTATTTTATTTTATTTTATTTTATTTTATCCAATTTCTGTCTGTTTAGTAGCATGCTGGCTGTGAGTAACCTTTTATTTTTACTTCATGGTTGTCAATTCAGCACTCTAGTTCAGGCAGTTCAGGCCAGTTTCTTTTGTCTAAGCCACTGACTAAATCAAATTTGAAAAATACATTCAAACTTCTCATATTACAATGTATGAAACTGAAGTCTAGAGACATTCAATGATTGGAATATCACTGGTAGATTTCAACTTGAGTCTCATTTCTCAACCCTCTTTCCTATATTTTGAATTACCTCAGTGTATTGCCTCTCAATATACTGAGTTGAAGTGATATTTGAGAACATCATTTATGATGCTTGGGAGCAAATATTAAAAGCAAGGTTTTTAAATAGAAAATAACTAATGTAGCACCTCAAGGTTTGAGATGAAGTACATTCTCATTGCAGAGGAAACTTCAAAACCTAAAAGAAATCTGCTATTACCAGTATCCAGAAACTACACTGAAGTGAGTGGTTATTAACCTAGCCAAACATCTGTTTAAACTTTTTAAACCACATCACACATGTATGTGTGTGTGTGTGCGCGCACACACACACACACACACACACACACACACACACACACACACACACACCTCCTAACACCAATTAAGACTTTGCTAAACTTAGGCATCTTAAAAATCCCACCAGGGAGCTAATTGGCTACAAAACATTATCTCACTCTTTATTAAGGTATCAGCGAAAGACATTTTATTTTCCACCAGGACCATTTTCTTTCTTAATATAAACCAAATGTTCTGGGATATTTTACTTCAGATATCTTTTCTTCATTTCAGAATGAAATGGACTGTTATTGGGCAAAAGTTTCAGAGTACATTGTACAATAAACAATTTTTTTAAAAAACAGGAAAATATTGAAAAATCTCATGGCACAGAGAAGTAGGAAATTTACTTAACAGATTAACATTCTACACCATGACCACGTTTAGTTAATAAATAAATGAAAAAGATTGTTGACTTCTCTCAACTCAATTATACTCAATTTCAGTGTCTAATAAATACTTACTAAACAAATGATTGACAGAAAAACTGCTTTTTAAATTTTTATAGAAAAATAAACCCAATTCAAATCTAAATTATATAGCCACATTAACATTATATAATTAACAATATCAAATAAGTTTCACATGAAAAATGTATCAAATACTGCTTTTTGACTTCAGATTAGATCACTGATCATATCACTCTTGTGTTACAACTTATTAGGGTTCTTCTTTGTAAGTGAAAGAAATCCTTCACAAGCTTACATTTTAAGAAGTCAAATATATTGATTTAAAGATCTAGAAAACCCAGAGCACATCAAGCTTCAGGTGTGTCTCGAAATTGTCTCCTGTTATATCTCGTTCTTGGATTTTGTTTTCCTCTGTCTCTGTATGTTGGTTTTGCTCATTATCCGGTAAAGACCATAGTCACGGCAACTTTAGGTTTATATCCTACCAGGTTAGTAACCACAGTAGAAAATAATTTCTCATTTTCAGTAGTCTAGATACTGTCTCAGAATTAACCCTTAATTGGACTGCTTTTGGTCACATGCTCATGATTAAGCCAATTACCATCATCAACAAGGTAAGACAGCTGATAAGACAATACTGGGTCATGCGCCCATTTCTTTATCTATGGCTATAAATTCAGCTGCATTGAAACCAATTCAACTGGACTAAGATTAAAGGGTGAGATTTTCCACTGGAAATTCAGGGTGTTATGAGTATATTAAGTGGATGCTAGGCAGACAAAAATTTTTAAAAACTTCCACTGCTCAAAAGATAAAATATTTTAATTTGTGTCTCATTTCTTGCAAAAATAAAACCCAGTTTGTATAGTCTATGTCAGTTATTCCTTCTAATTTAACAACATTTTCATTTCAACCTCAACATTGTAGCCACAGTTTCCCAGACAAACCAAAGCTTTTCAAGCTGTTCCTTCTGTTTGACATCCTTTCTCTGTACCAACACAAGCCCAACTGCCACTTTCTACCTTGCAGAAAACCATAATTCTCTTTAAAGATTCAGATTCAAATGTAGTATCTCTGTGAAACATTTCCCAACTCCCATTACATAACCAAAGTCACTCAGTCGTCTGTACTTACACAATACTACATAGATACTTTGATAGCATTTAACATAGAGTATTCTGATAATTGTATGTGATCCTTCTCTCACATGGAATGTGAATTCTTGGGAGTGCAGATTGTTGAAACATGTGACCTATCTTTAGTTGGTAGAATAGTAATGGGCTAAGTTTATATTGGATGGATTAATTTATTAAACAAGTCAAATTATGTAACACATTTCAAATTCAGTAAGCAAATCTTATGTTTATAGAGACAATGTAAAAGAAGGATTTCAAAATAAATGTTCAGTGAAGCTGGTAATCTGAGTGAGCCCAGAAACTGTTAAATGTCTATTTTAGATAGCATTTGAGATGAACACTATATTCACCAAGCCATTCAGGCTACACTGACACACATGGAACAAAATCAGCAAGATTAGAATTCATTACTATAAGCAAGCTATCATGGATCTGTTTTAAAAGTGCCTGTGATGTTCTGGTTATTTTCACATTTATAATACTTGGGAGAAAGAAAAATAAAAATGAAACAAGACACCTTTATGGGGAATTCTTCAGGAATTCTCTGGGTTAGCAGCAAACCACCCCACATTTTTCAACAAAGCTTGAGGGATTGTAGAATGCAAGATGAAGCCATCAAGAGTTGAAACTGAAAGGACCCAACTGAAGAGATTCAGCTCTGGTCCTGTTGAGTTATAAAAAACTGTAAGCTTTCTTAGTGAACCTCTATGATTCTAGGAATTTAGAAAAGATAGAAGTCTTTGGGCACCTGGAAATGTCAATTGCTGCACATAACTAGAATGACTTTGGCTTGACAGAAGAAGGCAGTCTCTGTAATGGAATAATCTGCATTTGGGTTCCGTAATTTAGTAATATCAATAACTGGACCACACTACAGCCTGAGAAAGACTCTTGGAAGCCTAGGAATAGGCTTATGTGGGTGGAAGGAGGTAAAGGACCGTACTTGACACTACATGCGCTCTTAATAAAGTTTGCTGCTTTTCCATGAAATAAAACCTAACCTGAATCCAATGCCTGTTCAGTAACAAGGAAGGATATAATGGATGCCTAGGCAATGGTTTCTGGCAGGCACAGAATGAAAGTAGGTCTCAGCCAGAGATTCACCAATAGCTGAAGAGCAGCAGGACCATCTACCACCCGAGGAGGGGCAGAGGACAAGCTTATGTGAAAGGGGAACCCACAGAGTGGGGTCCTGCTTCTCACAGAAAGCACAAAGTGAAAACAACAAAAACCCACTTTGGTGATTCAAATACTATGCCCTAACAGACAAACAATTTTCTGCCTGTTTTACAAGACGAAGCACTCAGATTCTGACAATGAAGATGATTGATTTGCAGCCCACCACAGAGGTCAAATAGGCCATTTGGTACAAAAGAAAATATTTTATTGGTTTATGTGTCTATTCTTGTAGCAATACCGGGCTGCTTTGGTTACTATAGCCTTGTAATAAAGTTTAAAGTCTGGAA